ATCTTTCCACCTCTGCACTATGGAAGCGACATTTGCCTGCTCACTCAAGTGCTGGGAAGAGACTTCATAGCTCTAAAAGGAAAAGCTGAGCAGTCTTCCAAGAGAGACCGACTCAGTGAATATCTGCACAGGGGGAATTATACCCACCTTCTATCTCCTGCTGCAAATTAAATCTCTCCCTTCCCATTCTGCCAATTCTCTTCACATGCTAAACATTTTAGAGCCAGGGCTCATCCAGCTCCATTTGCCATAGTTCGGCCTTCAAAATCAAGAAAGAAACAAAGCAGTTCTGCCATTTCCTCCTGCATTACCTCCTCCACATACAAACACACCCACAGCCTTTTCAAAGAGCCACAACTTGTAAGAGGATCCTTCATCTTCATAACAGTCACACAGACGTCACCAAACAACGCCTCTTGCCCGGCCATGTCCCCTGCTGGGGACAAAGATCAAAGCATGAATGACAAAAAGGCTTTTCCTGCTTACCTCCACTATGAATCATGGAGAACGATAAAGGCTGAGTAAAATGTGCAGAGAAACCCCACGGGAACCCCACAGAATTATGACCACGACACATTCAACCTATCCAAGCACATGTGCTCTTGCAAAGACACACGAGACTCATAAAAATTGTCTTTCTCAATAACGCCATATATCCCTTCAGAAGATCTAACACTACTAAGAACACTGATTCTTGACAGCACAGGGGACATGGGGGGAAAACTCCAACCTGAGAAATACCCAAACTCACGACCTAACGAACAGCCTGCCAGCAGCAGCCTTCTCCCTCCTTCCTTCTCCGCTAACTGCAAGGCTGACGACAGAGCCCATGTCCAAAGAACGACACCAACGGGCACCAGCCATAAGAACGTCACCGAGGGAAACTCGACCTCGCTTGGAAGCCAAAATCTCCTACGCAAGGCAGAGAACAGGGCGGGGAAAAGGACACGGGAGCATCAGGAGGAAGCACGACTGTCGGAGTAAACGTGCCCAGAGCAACTCACCGAGGGAGCGGCGGGATCCGCGGGCAGGGCGGCGGCAGGGTCCTCGTCCCCGAGCAGCGGCGCGGGCTCGTCGGGCAGAGGCCGCGCCGGGAGGGTGTCGCAGCAGCTGGCGGCCGAGAAGCGCAGCTGGCTCTTGCGCGAGTCGGCCGTGAGCGACACGTCGTGCGAGTAGGACTGCAGGAAGGCGCGCACGCCGTCGATGCCCACGAAGTGCGACACGGGCACGCCGCGCAAGGCGCCGCTCTGGGCCGGCAGCAGGTGCTGGCGGCGCCAGCGGCGCAGGCGCAGCGCCAGCAGCAGCAGCAGGAAGGCGAGGAAGAGGCACGACACGGCGGCCACGGCCAGCACGAGCCAGCGCGTCAGGCTGCCGGCCGGCTCGCCCGGCGCCGCCGCCTCGGCCGCGCTGCCCAGCTCGGCCAGCAGCTCGGCCACGCTCTCGGCCAGCAGCACGCTCAGCGTGGCCGTGGCCGACAGCGCCGGCCGCCCGTGGTCCTTCACCAGCACCACCAGGCTCTGGCGCGCCGCGTCGCGGGCCAGCGGCGAGCGCGCCGTGCGCACCTCGCCGCTGTGCAGCCCCACGCGGAACAGCCCCGGCTCCGTCGCCTTGGCCAGCTCGTACGACAGCCACGCGTTCTGCCCCGCGTCCGCGTCCACCGCCACCACCTTGGCCACCAGCGCGCCGGGCTCCGACCAGCGCGGCGCCAGCTCCACGCCCGACCACGCGCCGCCCGAGCCCGCCGCCCGAGACAGCGGCGGCGGGTACAGCACCTGCGGCGCGTTGTCGTTCTCGTCCACGATCACCAGCACCACCGACACGTTGCTGCTCAGCGCCGGCGCGCCGCCGTCCTCCGCACGCACCCACAGCCGCAGCTCGCGCACCTCCTCGTAGTCCAAGGAGCGCAGCGCGTACAGCGCGCCCGTCTCCGCCTGCACCGACACGTACGACGACAGCGCCGCGCCCCGCACCCGCCCCTCCGCCAGCCGGTACCGCACGCGCGCGTTCTGCCCCCAGTCCGCGTCCGTGGCGCGCACCGTCAGCACCAGCGCGCCCGCCGCGTTGTTCTCCCACACGCGCGCGCTGTAGCGCTCCTCCGCGAACACCGGCGCGTTGTCGTTCACGTCCAGCACCCGCAGCGCCAGCACCGCGCTGCTCTGCAGCGCCGGCGACCCGCCGTCGGCCGCCCGCACCGTCACGTTGTACTCCGACACCTGCTCTCGGTCCAGCTCTCTCGTTGTCACCACACTGTAGTAGCTGCCGTGCGAGTTCTGGAGCCGGAACGGGACGCCGTCGTCCAGTGAACAGCGCACCTCACCGTTAGCCCCCGAGTCCCGGTCTTGCACATGCAGCAGTGCGACCACAGTCGCTGATGGCGCATCCTCAGAAATTTCACTCAGCGCCGACCGCACAGAAATCACTGGTGCGTTATCGTTCATGTCTGTGACGGTGATTGCGATTTTGGCAGTGTCGAAAAGGCCTCCGCCATCCCGTGCCTGCACTTCCAATTCATAAGAGCTGCCTTCCTCGAAGTCCAGGCTCTGTAACAGAGCGATCGCACCCCTCTCCGAATCCAGCTGAAAAATCCGTGAGGCTTTCTCTGTGATTTTCTTTAACGAGTATTTCACCTGTCCGTTCAGCCCCTCGTCGGCGTCCGTGGCCGTGACGGTGACGAGGACAGAGCCCACGGGCACGTCCTCGGGCACACGCACCGTGTACTCCGCCTGGCTGAACACGGGCGCGTTGTCGTTCGCATCCAGCACGGTCACACGGATCCGAGCCGTGCCCGTCCGTGCCGGATCGCCGCCGTCCATCGCCCTCAGCACCAGCTCGTGAAACGCCGCCTCCTCCCGGTCCAGCGCCTTGGCCAGCACCAGCTCAGGACGCTGATCGCCGCCGGGGCTCGCCTGCACGGCCAGAGAGAAGTGCTCGTCACCGCTCAGCTCGTAGCTCTGCAGGGAATTCCGGCCCGAATCTGGGTCATGAGCCTCGGCCAGAGGAAATCTCGATCCCGGGGCTGTCGTTTCGATCATTCTCTCTTCCAGCTCTATATCCTTGAAAATGGGGGGGTTGTCGTTAATATCCGTGATCTCTACTTCGATTTCAAAAAATTTCATTTCCCCCTCCACGATCAGCTCACAGCGCAGCACGCATTGCTGCACACGCTCGCACAGCTGCTCTCTGTCGATCCTCTCCGCCGTCACTAAATGTCCCGTCTTCCCGTGAACAGTGAAATACTGCGTCCTATCTTCGGATACAATGCGGATGCCATGAGCTCGGATCTCCGGCAGCTGCAGCCCCAGGTCCTTGGCGACGTCGCCCACGAACGAGCCCTTGGGCAGCTCCTCGGGCACCGAGTAGCGCAGCTGCCCCCACGCCGCCTCCCACGCCGCCAGCAGGACGGCCCAGAGCACAGCTCGCTGCCGCCGGCCCCAGCGCCTCCCCGCCCAGCTCATCTCCGCCAACTTAGCTTCCCGCTGCCGCTGCTGCTCAGCTCCCAGCGCTTGCTGACCTTTCCCACCGGCCTCTCCGCTCCCGGGCCCTGCCCCAGCCTCCGCCGCCTCTCCGCCGCACGGATCCGCACCGGCAGGACGATCGCACACCGCCGCCCGGGCTGCCCACCCACCAATCCAGCGATCGAGCTGCGATCCAGCCTGGCCGCAGCGGGCGGGGCTGCCGGCAGCGCTCCGATCCTCCTCTCGCTCCTCTCGGTCAACAGCGGCGCCCGCAGCCTCCTCCCGGCACTGCAGCCACCGAGCGCTGCCCGCCCTGCCTGCCTACAAACAGGGACCACTCGCCACCCACACGCCGCTTTCCGTCCCGCGCCCATCTCCTGCCTCCGCTTTTCTCCAGCCCATCTCGCCTTTGACCCTCCAGGGTATCACGATCGGGAGGAAGGCAGAGATATTCCGTGAGCACGGTTCTTTAACCGCACGGGAAACGAAACACTTACTAATGTCATTATATGTAAATTCAAACACATTTTTGGTATTTTATCCTGTAGCTTATGGTTAGCCTTATGCTTTTTGTTCAAAAGCATCTTCAACAACAGGCTCTCAGAGAAGTAACGGGAGGATTCCATATCCCGAATTAACACAGCTATCAGGTTCATTAACACAAGCTGGATGAGAGCAATTGCATGCTTCTTCAAGTTACGAAGCTAATTATTACAGCACTGAATAACCGGGACAAATAAACATGCAGCTAAAACACTTAAAAGAAAACCTTTAGGACTTCAAATCTTTCACATCCCTTCCTAATATGAACATAGCGTTTCCTTAGATAACAGAGACTTACGTTTCATCAATTCATTCTAGGTTTCTTTTATTATGAAATCATCGTGTAAAGAATTTAAGCTCATTAGTAAACTATCAATTTATGCATTTCTTAACGACGCTGATACGATGTGTTTCCAAGAAAGGAATTATAGAACCATAGCAAAAAAGTACTATTGTAATATTGAAACATTTCTGACCAGTAATCAAAATGTAAATTTGATTGATTCAAGTGCCTAAACCGTCATCTGCACAATCTCCCTCATATGAAATCCCTCTGCATCTCAGATGTCCATCCTAGCCAACAGAATTTCAGCTATTTTTTGATCCCGATATACCCGAGTTCTGCTGAAACCCCCAAGACCTTTGTGAGGAAAGGATAGAAAAATCAAAATCTCTGAAACAAAAATCATTTAAGCCTATCACAAGCATATGAAATAAAGATCATGAAGGGCAAAACAGAGCGAACTGCCAGCCAGGACGTATAAAAAGAAGCCATCCAGTCCCACTACTACAATCCCCCCAGAAAAGGCCAACAATCGCTTATTTTCACCCAGCATGGACAACGGAGCTTCCCAGTTTCGTTTCCCTTCTAAATCAAACCGGAATAAATACAAAGTTTAACGAACGGGTTTGTGTAAAGCTCTACACGAGTTCCAAGCACAGCTTTACTAAACAAAGCAGTCAGGAAGGATGAAAACTACAACACCCGCTGTCAGTGCTTTTCTACTTTTTCCTCGACCCCATCATGGACAAGCAGCCATTCTCTTTCCACAGAATACCAGTACCAATGTGCATGCGGTACTGCGAACACATTGCAAATGATAGGGCTCAAAAGTTGAAGACAAAACCTGGCAGCTGAAGCATAACGTGTGACCAAGGAAGAACCAAGTGGTTCCTTCTCTACCATAAACGGGGCATTACCCATTCCTTAATTCACTCCATCACGGAGACAGGACTGTGCAACTCACAAAAACAAAAACTTCAGTCTCAGAAAACACAGAGAAACTCTGGGAAACGCTGCTACGAGCCGAAAGGAGAGCCATAAACAAAGCCTGTCAGCTGAATCTGTTACCTAGAATAAAATGCAAAACTTCCTCCACTACGTAGAAACACAAATGACGAGTCCCCTCTGACACCACGCAGAGAATACCCGAAAGTTTTAAAAGCAGAAGAAGGTCACGCTTTACAGACCTGCAGTGCACCAGCATCGGCGGGCGGCTCTCCCACGACGACGTTACTGCTCGGGCTCGGCTTCTCGCAGGAATCGCCGCCCAGAAGCTCCTCCGCCGACAGGACGGGCACCGGCGGCACCGGCGGCACC